CTATACTACAGTCATGTGTAACCCCACACTAACTGCCGCGGCTGGCCGATTGGTGGTCACTCATACGCCGGTGTGTACGCATATGGCGGCATGTATGTATGTGTTTATGTATTATGTACCTATATTTATATATGTGTGTGTGTGTCTGTGCGTTGTGGTTGCATTTTTTTATTGCATATATAGTGTAGCAAAGCTTTGTAATCATGCGGTACATTGACATTTATTACAGTTTAAACGTTTAGAAATTGTTGTATTTTATATTTAAAAAAGCGAAAAATTTAGCAAAATAAAAAATCATAAAATTAAAATTTCGAGAAAAAAATCTGCATAAGTTAAAATTATTAATGATATGACTAAGACAAGTCTTTAAGTTGTGCGATTTCTAAAAAAGAAATGCCTAAAAAGTTTAACCGCGCCGGTATTCGCAAAAAAAATTAATTTGATAAAAAGTTTCACAATGAGTTTTGTAAATACATACTTACATAGTATATACATAAGTATACACTCGTATAAAAAAACCGTTTTCCAGTTCACTGTGGCCACTTTGTGTTATTCTGCATACTTTGTTGTCGCTGTTGCTTGTATTTTTTATTAATATTTACATATGTTTGCATAATAAAACTTTCTACGAAACACGGTACACTTGTTCTTTGATCGGCCATTTGTTGCGACAATTTCATTAGCATTTATATATACATACATGTATGTGTGTATATACATATGTATATACATATATATGGATACATAAGTATGCGCGTTTATATATGTAAGAATATGTGCACATAAATCCATTAAATTATCCGTTAAATGCCGCCTGCAGTCCAATAGGCGACCAAGCTTTGTACGCACTCACGTCACGCCTGCTAGCAGCGTCAGTATATATGTATTTAGATATGTGTGTGTGTGTGTGAGTTGTCATGAAAAATTCATGCGAATCTGTCAAAGTCAATTGACTCGATTAACACTTCATTGCAATTCAATTGGCTCCTGGATTTTGACACGGTGTACAAGTATTGGGTTAGTGGAATTTTTTGTTGTTTTATTTTTTACGGTAAATCTATTTGCAAACGATGACGAAATCGAAAAACTGCAAAATTTTTTGTTTCAGTTTTCACACTTTTAGTTTGTTGGTCGTAAGAAAAATTATGAATTCAAATTCTTGAAAGTACCGAATTTAGGTACTAAAATTTATTTTGTGTAAAAACTAAAAATATATTCTTGAGTTGAGTACTTTCTTAAAAAAGAGAATCTAGATTTTGTGTACCGTTTATCTCTCAAGTATCGTATTTCGGTACTATGCTTATAAAAATTTGTAAAAATTAAATTCTAATGAGTTCGATATAAAATTTAGGAGCTTAATATTACATTAAAGTATGTAAAGTATAATAATCCATTATATGTAATAACTTCAACAATGTCCGAATATGGGTACACTGCATAGATACATCTCTCATCAATTCTAAAAATATAGTTTTCTGTGAAAACATTTTAAACTTGAAGTTTCCGTTTGTATTTACAAAATAATTAAAACCAAATAAATGTACCGTATTTTTTAAAGCACCGAATTTCGGCAATACAAAGTGCTTTTTAATAAAAAAAAATCTTTAGGTTCCAAATACAATTTAAAAAAATATTTAATATATATATAATAATATATCTATCTATATAATAAGATTTTAGGTAAACCTAAATTTATTATGTAAATGTACCGAATTTAAATATAATATATTCCAAATCCGTTTTATGAGCAGTATAGGTGTACAGTGACAAATAAAATTTGAAAAGAAATTTCACTTTAGATTTTCGTAAAACTAAATATAACGGAAACTGAAGAGTACCGAATTTGAGTATTTCAAAGTGCTCAGTATTGACTAGAATTACAATTATAAGTGTTTTGTAGAAAAGATTTCCAATTTTAACTGCTAGTGGGATTTGTTTAAAAAAACTTTGAAATTAACCAAGTTTCCAGAAGTACCTAATCTTCTATTCAAGAATGTATTAGTAGTCAAAATAAGGTAGCTTGTAAATTAAATCAATTTGTGACCACCCCTATCTGAGGGGCATATTGTTGGTGAAATTGTACAGAAATATCGAATCGGACATTGCGAAAGTGTTAAATGTACCGTACTTTTTAAAATACCGAAAGTAGCTACTCTAAATGACATAGTATTTCTTTAAATTAACGTAAAATTTATTTAGAGTTATTTGGAGAGAAATATATACGTGAAAATACTCGGTACTGATTTAGAGTCATTTTTAAAAGCGAGAAAACGAAATTAAATTCGATATAATTAATTACATATACTTGTATGTATGTACATATGTACCAATTAACAATAAACCATAAATATGTATTTTTTTTTGTATTTAAAACTGTAGTATGCTAAAACGTGTTAATAATTACTTTATCTTAAGTGCTTTTTCGGTATTCTATACTTATTTTAGATACTTAGTATAATTTTTAGTTCTCTTTGTTTTGCTACTTTGCGTGTTTTTACCAGTTTTAGATGTACTGTACCTTTTTACGACTACTTGTTGCAGTTTAAATATATCTCTGATGCTTAAGTGCTTCGATACTTAGTAAAAGTTTTAGGTACGCATTTCAATATAAATCTGTACCGATATTTCTGAGAATTATTTTTAATAAAATTTGTATATACCTATATTTTTCATACATCTGTTTTCCATTCAAAAATTGGTCCTACCCAAATGTTATATTTTCCTATGTAAAAAATTTAAAATTTTACTCCAAAATATTTAAATACAAGTACTAAGTCGATTCTCTCCACCATATTCTATTTCACCCGAATCATCTGCTTTAAATATCTTTCGGCAATCAAACAATGTCAACTAAGGTCAAAAGAGCAACTCATTTACACACTTCCGCTAGCAAAGCTAAACACACCCACACACACTGACATAATTATATATGTTATAGAGCCGAATTTATGCCAACTCAGCGCAATCTTTGCACGCGAAAATTCCAAGCCTAACACTATTACTACGCGATGGTGCGCTATGATGACGCTCAGCGTTACTGTCCAGCGTCACCGACAGCCAAATTATGCGCAGAAAAAAAACACAACAAAAACATACAAGAACAACAAACGAAAGAGAATATGCGCAATCATCAACAGGTATGTGGTGTGTTGTCGGAAATTTGCGAACAACATTAAGAACAAAAAAATTGATGATGACTTTATGTAAACATGTGTGTTTGTATATTTGTATGTGTATGTCTATATGCATATACATACGCCTATGAATTTATGTGTACATATAAACTGCAACAATGTGGTGTAGATATTTACTACATATGTATATTTTATGTATGTTTGTATGTATGCGTGCTCGTCTATTCGTGTTGCCCGCAAAAACAAGTGATAAGCCGACAACAAAGTGTGAAATATACAAGCGGCCGAGTGTAAGAGCAAATGAAAAGTAAAATAATGGAATGCTGCCAAAATGTGACAGTAAATTAAAAGCAAAAATATAAAAAATAAACAAATTAATAAAAAATAACAAATAAAGTATAAAAAAAATAAAATTAAAAAATAAATGTAAAAAAAATTATAAAACAATTAAAAAAAATATTAAAATATAAAAAAAAAATTAAAAATTAAAAACATAAGTAAGAAATATAAATATATGCAAATATAATATGTGATAGAAAATACATAAGTTAATAAAAAAACCGCAAAAAATTTGGTAAAATAAAAAAGAAAATGTCATTATTTAAAAAAAAATAAAAAATTTACTGACAAAAAGAAAACGAATATGCCAAAAACAAAATTTAATAAATTAAAAAAAAAATTAAAAATTAACAAAGAATTTTATTATTTAATAAATTTAAAAAAAAATTAAAAATTAACAAAGAATTTTATTATTTAATAAATTTACAAAAAAAATTAGTTAATTAAAAAATCAAAGGCTTAAATTAAATAGTAGAGAAACGAAAAGGAAAAAACCATCTGTCAAAATTATTAATTATTACATTAAAAATTAATTATTTAATTAAAAAAATTAAAGCTAAGACACAAAAAGAAAAAAATCTGCCAAAATAATAATAGAATAATTAATTTATTAAAATAAAAGTTAAGTATTAAATTAAAAAAAAGTAAAAAAATAAAGAACAAAGAACAAAAAAATTAAAGAAAAAAAAAAATGTGCAACGAATAATTGGGTTAATTTAAAAAATGTCAAAAATTTAATTCAGCAATCAAGAAAACAAAAAAAAAAACACGTATTTCCAAAAGTTAATAAATAAAGATAAAAAATTAAAATAGATATAGTAAATAAATAAATAATATTTAATAAATTTAAAAAAAGCTTCGTTAATTAAAAAAAGCATTAAATGAGAAAAATAAATAAAAAAATAATATATAAACACAAAAATAAAAAAAAAATGATAAAAAACTATAAAAAAAACGCCACAAAACTAGAAAAATTAAGAAACTAAAACACCATAAAAATAAAAAATAAAAATAATTACAATTAAAAATGTATAACCAAAAAACAATGAAATGCTAAACATCCGCATTTGCCGCATCACCAGCATACTCAGCCACAAATCGGTGGTTTGGTGATAGTAACAGCGGCGCCGACGCTGCCATCATCAGCACCACCGACGTTGTCGTTGTTAACGTCGTGTTTGTGTTGTTTGTTGCTGCCTTAGTCGCTGCGGTCGGCATTGTCAATGGTCGAGAACAATCTAGAAGAGGCGCCAGCGCAGCAATCAAACATACATACTCGAATATATGTATACTTACACACAAAAATATATATCTACATACATGCAGCTAAATTGCCATACAAACCGACGCTTGCGATTAATGCTTTAATATATAGTATGTAGATTTGTATGTGTGTAGTTGTGTATTTATCAGCCGTCGTGCACATATGGCAGTCACTGTAAGCCCACTCACTGCAACCGCACACACACACAAGCGCATATTTACAATTTCATTGCATACATATATACATTCATATGAGCTATAATGAAAAGCCTCTATATATTCGTATTTGTATATATAATATACATATATAAATGTGTGTGTGTGTGTGTGTACAGCTAAGCCTACCCCACAACCGTTCCCGGTACTTAGTACGCGCACTTTATTCGATTTGCTGCCACCTTTTTAGTGTGACGTCAGTCGGTGCTGCTGCGCGCCTTTCGCCGTGCCATAACGAGCCGCCTGCATGCCGCACACCTAACCCTTACACTACTTGTTGGGTTCTTGCTATCAATACATACAAATACATTTTTTTTAATTTTGTGCTGTATTTGTTGTTGCTATTAGTACGCCAGCGCCCCACGACAATGACTTTTTCGGTGAATGCTGGCGATTGCGACAAGCGAAACGACTTGAATGTGCTCAAAAGCTCCAAAGTGAGTGGGCGCTGTAAGCAAAAAATTACTAAGAGAGAGAGAGAGAAAAACCCATAGAGCGTATCATATAAAGTGAGTGTATTTGAGAAAGTTTAAATTTTGACATATTGAGTATTTGCGCTTTTGAGCGCTTGCAATACTTGAGTGAGTGCCACGGCTGAGTGAGTTCAATACTTGAGCGATTGCAATGCCTGAGTGAGTGCAATACTTATTTGAGTGCCTACATATTGGAGTGCCACACTCAAGCAAGTTGGCCAGCTAGCGCTAAACCGCTTGCACTAATCGTGTTAGAGAGCTTATGCCTCGATACGAATAACACCTGCTGGCGCACATTATAGCCCCACGAACGGTATATACATGTATGACTGTGTGATCTGCACTCAAACTCCACCATGCACTCGCACTCACTCACGCTCACTAACTCAGCAATGCACTCGGCAGCCCACTCGCACACTCAACGTGCTGGCAAAGCGTACGCCAACTTGACGACCCATTGGTGTACATTCCCCAACAGCACAACGTTAGCAGCAGTACGATTTCGAACTCGCTCGGCGTAAGACATTGACAGTTCCCGTAGACGCGGTCGTACACATACATAGTATATAATAGTGTATATATATATATTTATATATATGTACATATTTGCCAAATTGCCACAAAACGTTCACGTCAGCAGCAGCAGCGTTAGTAATTTTTTGCTTGGCGGTGTACTGAAATCGAAATAACTGTTCGAACGTTATAGAAAATTGCTTGCTTTCATAAAATTTTGAAAACATTTTTTTCGTGTTTTTGCTCGTCGACAGTGCAGCAACGACGCAACGCACGTCATCAAGTCAGTCAACAAAGCGTCGCTTGCCGTAGTCGTCGTCGTCGCGTTCGACGTTGTGTCATTCTTTGCCGTCGTAGTCGTCGTTGTCGCCATTAGCAGTGTGTGTTTCTTCACAACAGCTTGTTAGAAAAGTGGCCAAAAACAACGGAAAAAAGTAGCAAATGAAACTTGAAAAATAGCAAAAGATTTTGTTTTCGAAAAATATTTTCGAAAGTGTATCGAAAAGTGAGCGCGTGCATTTTATAACGTAGCGTAAAATAAAAATAACAACAACAAGCATACGCGTAAACTGCAAGAAAAAGGTGGGTGAAGAAATCATATTGTTTTAAAAAATTAGTAAGAAATATTTAAAAATTTAGAGGAAGTAAAAAAAAATTAATTTTTTGACTAAATAATTGAGAAACACGATTTTTTTAAGAAAAGCAACAAAATCAGTAGTTGTGATTAGAGAAGTGCAGCGAAAAGTGTAAGAAGCCTACAAAGCTAGAAAGCGATCAAATTTGTTGGTGAAATACTGAGAAATATGATAAAATATTTTTGAAGCAGAAAACAGACAAAGCGCAATGTAAAGAAAATATAATACATGCCATAAAAGAGTGAATGAAATGAATAGTTAAAAGTACAAAAATGCTTAAGAAAAATTAAAAAATTTGAAACTTCGAAAATTTAAATATATATAGTTTTGAAAAAAAATAAATTAAATTTAAAAATTTAAATTTCTTGAACATTAAAAAAATTGGAAATTTCAGAAAGCAAAAAATTTAAAATTATAAAAATTTTATTTTAAAATTAAAACCACTTGAAAATAAAAACTTTGGAAGTTTCAAAATCCAAACATTAAGAAAATTCAAACTTTGAAAATTAAAAATTTCAAAATCTTCAAGTTTAAAAAATTTTAAATTCTGAAAATTATAAATAGTATAAGTTTTAAAACCTTATTCAAAAATATATGTATAAGTGTAGTTCAAACAGTACAGCTTAAAATATAATAAAATCTTAAATGAAAATCTTAAAAAAAAATTATATTATAAAAATTTATATTTAGAACAGTAAATATAAAAAACAATATTTGCGCATTAATTTACTAAAAATTTTAATTTAATCTTTTAATAAAATAAACACTTTAATATTGAAAGACATATAATTTGAAAACATAAAAAAATTTAATTATTTTTGGATATTAAATTTAAAATCAAAAACCAAATAAAAAAAAAATTTTAATTCTTAATTTTTCAATTTCGAAACTTCAAATTTTTTACATTACAATATTTCTTTTTTAGCAGCAAACAACAAACGTCACAAAAGCGACAAGCGCCAAATGCGTAACGCGATACGCTGAAACAAAATAAATTAAAACCAAACGAATTTATTGCAAAGGTGGTGCAATTTCACGATTTCGCGAAAATTGTGTGCAAAAGAATTTTTGTTTGCCAAAAAAGTGCAAGAATAACTGAAAGAAATTAACAATAAAAAACAGTTAAAAAGATTTGATAATTAAATAAAATCATATAATTAAATAAAAAAATAATATAATTGATTAAAAGAATTAATAAAATTAATTAAATAATAGGTAAATAATCAGCTAAAATAATCATTAATTTAATTAATTACAAAATTAAGCTAATTATTAAAAAATCAAAGTAATTAATTAACAAATACTAGAAATAAGTTGCAAAAGTCAAAAGCAGAACATTTTCTGCGTCTTTAAGGGACAGCTGGCACATTCCAATACAAACACACAGACAAATACGCATTACCTATGTACACTTGAAAGCGAAAATTCAAGGCGAAAATTGTAATGCTCAACGCAAATAGAAACTAACCCACACAGAGTGAACGAAAAAGCAACAAAAAAAAAAAAACTACAACAATAACCAAAAACTTGTGTATTTTACGATTTCTGCGAAATTTTCAAAGAAAATTTTACTAAACAGAAAAGCGAAAAAAATATTTACAAAATAACAGAAAAAATACATTTGAGAAAAATTAGTAAACGAGTGTGAAACGAAGTGCAAAAACTGAAGCGGAGTGCAGTTCGGCTGTCTGTGCAGATTCCTGCGTTAAATTGGTAGGTGATTCATGCGAATTGGAATAAACTGTTGTGTTTTAATTTTTTTTTGACATTAAGAAATGTGTGTGCGATTAATTAGCAGCGCAAAAAAAAAAAAGAAAAGAAAAAATTAATAACAATTTATACGCGCATACATATAGTTCATAAGTAGGTGACTAATGCGCCAAGTAAATACATATTTAATTTATTGGGGAAGTGCTGAAAAATGAACGCAAGTCGAAAAAAAATACTTATGCGTTTGTTAAAATAATATTCATTTGATGAGATTATTCAACGTTTGCTGCCGATATGTGCATACATACACACCTACATATATACATATGTTCAAGCCAAAGTGCTTGTAAAAATATGAAACAATTTCAAGCGGCTCGATTTGCGATTTTCGCAAATTTATTAAATTTTGATTTATTTATCTTCGCTGTTGTTGACATTAAAATGTTGTTGCACCCAAAACCTAATATATTTACCTGATTTAGTTACCTGTTTTTGTATTGCTAAACAGCTGGTGAAAGGAACTAATTGCCAATGTGGCATATGCCTGACAGAAAACGATAGAAAAAATTTGCGAAAATTGGCATAAAATGCAATGAAAATTGTGGCAACTTTAAAATATGCACACATTTTTAGAATGGTATAAAAATATTATTTTCATAGTTTTTGCAAATGTAAAAAAAATTCAAAAGTAGTTTTTTATTTAAAAAATTTTTTTAAATTTTCTAAAAAAAAATTTTATTTGCAAAATGTTTCAAAAATAATAATTCAACAATATTTTGATATCAAACATTTTTCAAACAAAGTTTGTGTCTTACTTTAAATAATTTTTTCCCTAAAAATTTGTTTAAGAAAATTTAAAAAACATATTTTTAAGTTTACTGTGAAGTTGTTTTTATAAAATATAAAAATTATCATTAATAAAATGTGATAAAATTAATGTATAATTTAAAAAATTTGCTCTAATTATTATGTAAATAAAAGTAAAGCGATTTTACCAAGTTTTTCCTAACAACAACAACAATGTTATTTAAATTAATGTTCCAATACATTTTGAAATTTAAAACCAGTGATTTTCAAAATTCAATAGTGCTTTCAACATATTGCCATGTTAAATTGTCTAAGAATACCAACATCTTTTTTTACATATTCATTTAATTTCATAATAATATCAAAAAATTTGGATTGTTTCCTTTCGTGGAACGCTGCAAAGTATTTCGTGCTCATATTTGAATTTCCTTTGTACTTCTTTCTTCTCATGTTTTTCACTAGTATTGTATTCTTATCAAAATGAAGTGAGTTTTCGAAACAAGTGAAACTTTTTTTATATGATACATGCAACTTTAAAGCTTAAAACATAAAATTAGTTTTGAAAATTCCGAAAAATAAGTATATATAACTGCATTTGTGTTCAAAGCAAATTAATTTATCCGAAATAAACTCGAAAGAAATCTCTCTGTTCCTAGAAAACCACAAAAACGCAAAACAATGAAAATGTAAATTTACTAATTCAACAGCAAAAATCTAAGTAGACGATAAAGTATGCAATACATCTTTTTGAACTCAATACTTAACGACAAAAAAGGCTTTTTATTCTAATTTTCTTAGAATTCTGTAGTAGAAGCTTACGCAGAAGCAAAATTAAAATTTTTTGTTATTGCAAAAATTCCAGGTTGTGTACATAAGTAGGTAAATAAATCATGAAAAGTTCGATACCGAAAATTTCTAAGTACAAAGCGATTTAGGAAACTGTTTAAAAAAATTATAACAACTTTTTAAAATTTTATTTGAAGCTTATGTTGGATGTAAAGAAAGAGAAAATGTGTTAATTTTCGAACTATAATAAGCCGTCTAGCGGCTCGAATTTTTTTAATCAAAATATAATATATTTAAAAATCTGCATTTTGGAATTTAAAATCATACATATATACAAATTCAGAAGCCTTAGTTCTTGTGATTGTTCGATTTCGAAATTATGACTTCGAATACAATTTTTATAGCGCGATTATTGATTTTACATTTGCGTTTATAACTTATTTAAATGTAATATTCTAAATATTTGCTGATACATTTATGAACATATTTATACCATACATTTTTTTGCCAGTAGAAGTACAGTTTTGTGGTTTTTCGACTTTAAATAATTTTTTTTTTGTATTTTTTAATAACATTTTTTTTCAACTTCGAAAAGTCAGATATTTATTTTTGTTTTTTTTTAATAATATTTAATACATTCTTTTTTTGAAAATATTTTATTTTTGAACATATTTTATTTTTTGAAAATATTTTATTTGACAATTTTTTTATTATTCTTTTTGATTTTAAATAAAATAGTTATCGTAATTTGTTTTTGATAAAGAAAAAACCCCTTTCGAGTTATTTAAAACTAGAAATATCATGTTCTTTGAATACTAAACTAAATTGCTTATAATTTTTTCTAAAGTGTATGTACATATATATATATAGATTAAACAACAATAAACATAAATATTTAAAAATTTGTCTTCGGCCTTATTTGTTTTATATATTTTTGAAAATTTCATCCTTTTCAAAAATATTAATTATATTATATATTTATATTTAGTCACATTGTAGTTGTAAGTAAGAAAAAGTTAAACTATAATAATTTTGTGAAAAGTCGACAAAATGACATAACTCAACTTAGTACTTTTATGTTCGCAAGCTTTAAATGCAATTATTATTTCATTTTCTTCTGTAACGTTTTTAATTTAATTTTAATTTTTTTTTTTTAATTATTTATTATTTTAGAATTTTTGTATATATATTTTTTTAATTTTTTAAATTTTTTTTCATTAAGTTATATATTTTTTGCGATATTTTTATATCAAAACTTTATCCAACTATTGTATATTACAAATTTTGTGATTATTATACTTGTAGTATATACATAAATACTGCAAAAAATAAAAAAAAAAACAACAAAACAGCAAGTCAAAAAATGCTCGTAATTAGTAGTTTGCCGCAATTATTAATTGAAAGAAATCAACTTGTGAAATCCAAGACGATGACTACTCGCTATCTCCAGCCAGCTGGAGTGGCTAAGTGCACATACATGTACATACAAACAATCATACATGCATGTATACGTAGGCATATCTATATAGTACATATGTATGTATATAGAGGCGTGCTACCTCTACAGACCTGCCTACTACGCCTAGAGCAGCGTACAGTGTTGCACAAAAGTATGTTTGAATGTGTGTAAATATATACTTGTATATGGTATGCCACTTACTGCTGCACTGTGATGCAAACCAATACATATTTACGCGCACATTGCTGTTTTTATGACCAGAATTGTTGCGCTTGTTTTGTTTTTTCCCCACTTTTTATAACTTTTAATAAACTTGAGTGTGTGTTGGTATGTGTGCAAGTATCGTATGTATAATTTGTTGTTGTTATTGTCTGTTTGCTTGTTTTTTCGCTGCATATTTGTTTCCACTAGAAAATTAATTCGCATAACTTAACGAAAGTTGTTGCTACTAGAGCTACAACTACTGTTTTTGTTGTAGTCGTTGTTGCTATTATTGTTGACTATGCTAAGCTGCGCTGGTCAGCGCTATCAAATCGAAAGATACAAGTTATTCGCATAGGTGTGTTGGTGACTTTTAGTAGTCGATATGACCACACGCACACATACCTGCATACATTTATTAATTTATACAACACACACATGCAGACACACGCTTGAATTGCTTTGGTTTGCGTTGGTTTTGCCCGTGTAAGCGATGACGTTCAACTCTGTTTACTATTTACGTGCATTTTAACTACAACAACTACAACGTACATATGTGTGTGTGTGTTTATGCAGGTATATGTGTGATTGTGTCAGTGTGACACAAGTGGTGAGCGTGAATAAAAAGCTGAAATGGAAAATCTAATAAAATTGCGAAAAAGACGCTTTAATTAAGTAGCAACAACAACAGTAGCAGCAACAAGACCAACCACAATCGCGCTGCGCTAAAGTTGTTTACTGTACAGTTTCATCCAATCATCTATTTGCGTTGAATTAAATTTTTTTTTTTAAGTAGATTTTTTTTTTGGTTGGCTTGGTTTTTGTATTTAATTTTTATTTATGGCATTTCTGCGCCTAGTTAAATAATTTATTTTTTAACAGAGACACCTTAACATTGTCATGAGGTACATTTGTCTGTCTATTTAATTTATTTAGTAACACACCCACTTTTTACACACAAATATGTAACATAAACATGTGTATGTATGTATAGGAATTGTAATAGTTTTTAAGAAAAAATTGTATTGATAGATATATATATATATATAAATAAAAGAATGAAATATACATACATGTGTACATGCGTGCGTATAATTTTATATGAAGTAAAAAAATTAAATTTAAATTTAAACAAAAATAATTTCACATTAAAAATATTAAATTTAAATAAAAAATTAATTGGTTAAAAATTAAAAAAACAAAGTATTAGTTAGATAGTATAGTAATTAATATAAAATCAACAATATAATAAAAACTGATATAAATTGAAAATTAAAAAATTAAAACGTAATTTAAATTAAAAAAATATCTAAATTTTTTTTCTTATTATGTAAATTAATTAAAAGCAAAATTGTAATTAAAACAAACAAATTATATTTAAAAAATAAAATAATAAAAATATTAGAAATTAGTTTAAAAAATAATTAAAATTTATAAAATATTTTTGTATACAAATATTTGTTTGAATAATATGTACATACATACATCTGAAAAAATGGGTAGGAAGTAAAAAAGTTAAATTATAATTAAAACAATTAACGAAAATTTGACATTACAAGAAAATGTGTGAAGCAAAGTAAAAAATTAATTAATTAAAAGAAAAAAAAATTTATTAAATAAAGAAAATTTACGAAGAAGACAATAAAAAATAACATTAAATAAAAATAATATAAATTAAAAACTAAAAACAATTAATTAAAATTAAAAAAATAAACATTTTTGTTTTCTAATTATGTAAATTAGTTAAAAA